GTTCCTATAAATTGTAATAATATTTCACATTATTACTGTTTTTACTGTATTTAAAATAAATAAATAAATGTAGGCTTGGTGAGCATATGAGAGACTTTTTTTTCAAAAACATTTGAAAATCTTTATCTTTTGACTGATGGATGTATGGCTGGATGGACGGACGGACGGACGGACAGACAGACAGACAGACAGACAGACAGACAGACAGACACAGACAGAGACAGACAATCAGACAGAGACAGACAGACAGACACAGACAGAGACAGACAGACAAGAAACTCACCCTGCACTGAAACTCTGAGCCCACCAACCCCAGACAGCCGGACGTGAGCACCGGAGAGCCACCCTCTTCTTCCTCCACCATAGTGAAGCAGTAACCATCAGTCCTGCATCATCATCATCATCATCATCAGAATGTTAAGATGAGCACTGGGTAAAACTACAGACTATGACCTCTAAAACCAGATCTATAATAATAATAATAGTGTGTGTGTGTGTGTGTGTGTGTGTGTACCTGCAGGTGTTGTTGGTGGAGTCTTCAGGACAGTGATGATAACAGTGACACAATAACATCCTCTCTGGAATCAGCGGTGTGGTGCTGCCGCTGCTCTCCTTACCACCGCCCGCCGTCACCTTCCCAGAATTCCTCAGTAACATGCTTTCCAACACATTCGCTGCAAGAACACAGATTCACGTTAAAATACTACAAAATACAAGAGTCCTAAAGGAGATAAATCAATCAGAACATGGGATTATGGGTAGTGTAGTTCTTCTCCAGAAATTAAACACAATCTTTCCATAACAAAGCTGAAATGGTTTTTACAGAATCAGACCACATCAGTTACCAACCTCAGAGCTCGTAATACGTTTGTCATGAAGTTTAGAGTTTATCGCTAATGATCAGTTTCACTCGAATGTGTTAAACAGCTTAACATACACACCAGAGCTGAGTGTGAAGATTCGTGTGTGTGTGTTAATGTCAGTGAGTCACTGTGTGAAGAACAGCTCATACCGCTCTGATATCACAGCTACCAAGGAGATAAAGCCGCAGATGCTGTCGGCCTTGACAAGATTATCAGAAATACTGAGACAGACTCTTGTCGCCGGCAGCGATCGTGAGCAGAGACGCTTTGAAGATTCATCAGAGTCACGATCGCATTCACATTTAACTACAGACCAGCAAAAGCACCACACAACAGCAGATGATGATCTGCACACAGAAAACTGACCTCTTATAAACCATACAAACTGTGCATCAAATCTCAACTGCCTTATTGTTTATTTTGTCGCAAAATACATCTATATTATTACAGCTCAATATATAAAGTTGGATATACAAGCATTTCCATCTTTAACCACATATATTCAGTACATTCATGTGAAGATAAACTGCTAATCTCAACCTCTTGACAGATTAAACACATTAAACAAATATTATATCAGTATTAAAAGAAATAACAGATTAATTTACATCAAAATACCATAGATTTGTTTATTCCTCTATATTTTAACAGAGATCTAGTCTTTCTGTATCTTTTTTTCTTTCTCATGCCACTCCATCAGTTCTTTCTTCATGTTTAAAGGCTTGTTTTCCGGTCAGTAGATGCTTCCCCTCTCATAAATCTCAAAGAAATGATAATAAACAGATAAAAGATAAAACTGTCTAACCCTGAGAGAGAGCGGAGATCTTCAAACGAAACTGAAAACAATGAAAGGTCACTGTTTCACTGTTAAGACGAAAACAAAACTGTTTGACAGATCTGCTGCTCTTATTATTATCCTCACGTTTTATTATTTAAAAAAAATAAATTTAAATTAAGTTTTTACCTTAATTTAATATCAAATTCATTGCTGCTCTTGTTAGTTATCATCACTTTGAGCAGGTAATCTTTCTTTCTTTCTTTCTTTATTCATTCATTCATTCATTTATAATACATTTTTATTATTAACTAAGTTTTTGCTTTAATTTTTCATCAAATTTACTGCTGCTCTTATAATTGTTATTATATCACCTTATTTATGCAGTTAATTTATTATTTTGATTTATTAATTTATAATTTTTTTTTCACCAGATTTTTATTTTAAAATGTATTTTAAAAATACTTTAAAAATTTTTTACCTTAACTTATCTTTTTTTAATCGATATTTTTAACTTTATTTTTATTTTGACACTTCAATGACACTTCATATATATTTCTTCTTGTTTTGTGCTACTGTTGTTCTGCACCATATACAAGTGCTTTGGCTATATGGATGTACAATCATTTATCAAGCTTATAAACACATTAAAACTGAAAAACAAACTGTCCTGAGATAAATACACTCCTCTGAGTCGAGATGATCATTAGTAAACAGCTCAAACTCAATATAAACCTCCTCACATGAACATAACTTCAGCTTCACTGAGACGCAGTACAGCAGCGCCACTGATGTTAATCACACACACACACGCAAACACACACTCACACACACACACTATCACACACACACACCACACACACACACATGATTGAACATTCAGAAACACTTCAGTCCATCACACTAAAGCAACAAACACTGGAGATCAGTGACGATAAACCGGCAAGGCCACACAGAAACCTGAAACCCACTCTCTCTCTCACACACACACACACACACACACACACACACTTATACGTTTCTGTAAGTGGCTGAGATCAACAGAAACAGGAGTTTTGAAGTCAATAAAAAATAAATAAAATACAATACAATACAATAAAATAAAATTTAAAAAAACAAAACAAAACAAAATAAAATAAAAAATTATAAAAAAAAACTAAATA